CCCTTCTTCTCCTACTCCCATTCCTACTACTGTTTCTCCTACACCTCCTTCTCATACCCCTACACCATCTAGTTCTACACATAGCTCACATGCAGGCTCCCCCAAAAGTCAACCCCCGCCTTCCCCAAAATGAAAGCCGGTGCTGATTGTTGGGGGCAGGCAGGTCCAATGGGGACCCGGGTGCCAGCACACGCCGTCTGGAACCACAGCTCCCAAAAATGACTCAAATTCACTGGGGAAGACCCCAAGGTGGATGTCTCAAACTGGAAAAGCTAGATAGAGGTCATCCGTCAAGGGCTTCACCTGTTTAGATGAGGACAAGGTGGGGACCACAATAGCCCTCCTTGCTGGCACTGCCCTAAAATGGGTCAATTCCGAGCCTAATGATGCTCTGAAGCAGCTAACAGATTGAACATCTATTGCAGGACTAGATCATCTCTTCCACGTTCGCAGGCAAAGAAAGGGCTCAGAAGACAAACTCTAATGGTTTATCCAGGCAGACCCAGATGGGTATGCCAAGGCCCTATATGTGGGCAATTACAAGGATCGGAGGTCCTTTGGCAAGGCATCCCCAGACATGGAGGCCACCCTCCAAGTCCAGTCCGGTTCCCAGAAGGGAAACAGTTCTTCTTCGCGAGGTCAGATAAAGGGAAAAGGTAGGCTGGCTGTACTCCTTGGAGTCTGAGGAAGACTCTACAGGGTCTACAGGGTCTAACCAGGGAGGAAGAATGACCCCCTCAGCTCGTCAACATGCAGGAGCCTCCCCAGACCACGCCGTCATGACATTATCCCGGGCACTGATGAGCTTGCCAAAGGCTCCAATCAGTCCCAGGGACAAAGGAGCCTCAACCCTAGGGGATCAGGCAAACGCCCCAATGGACCAAAGTTTGCCCAAGTTTGGCGAACGCCCAACGAACCTCATGGATCCTTCCTGGAGAGATCTACGAATCAACAAAGGGGTCTGGCAAAAGCAAACGGATGATGGGGTAGGCCTCAATTGCGCAGGAAAACACTTTCATCACAGTTCAAAAAAACGAACAGGCCAGCAAAGGTAGAGCCACGCCTCCTGAACTGAATTCATCCTAGTCTGAAGAGGAATCAGCCTCAAAGCCTGAGTCTAGTCCGGCTGCAGCCGACACTCTTTGTTCTCATACGTTGAATCTTTCCTTTATGAGCCCTTATCTGAGGACGAGTATGACCAGCTCTGCTCGCTTCACCTTCAGTTGAAGGAGAAGAGAACCATGAGGTCCGGACTGATCCTACTAAAACTAAACTCCTCGTCAACAGGACCCATAATAAGGCCCTGCTGGACTATGGAGCCACCCGGAACTTCATCTCCTCCCCTCCTGGAGTCCAAAAACTCCATCTGGGACTCAAGGTGTCAAGCCTTGAGTATTCGCTGGATATCCAAGTGGGCAACTCCGAATCTATCACAGTCTGGCAGGTTCTTAAACCACAAGTAGAGCCTTTCGTAATTAACTTCAGGTAACCTAACGGTCGCCCACATACTTGCTCCATTGGCGTGCATATATCGAAGTAGCCAGCCTCCTTGAACATCTCTCATAATATGTTCTACACTGTAGAAAGCTAAATCTACATGAGGCGTACAATGCATTGCTAAAAAAATGCCTGTAATTATCTGGATTATCAAACAACTACCAGCAAGAGATCCAAAACCCCACCAACAGCTGTGATTGCTAGGACTTGGATAATCTACCAAATGATTGTTGAATGTAGAAAATATAGGTTGTTTAAGAATCGATGTCTCAGCCTTGCAGAAAGTTTTTTGTCGCCACAAGCAAAACTCGGAGGGGCCGCGCGGCGGGGGGCACCGTTGAAAAAAAAAAAATCGGCGGCCTCCTAAGTGGTGCAGATTTCGTGCTGACACCCGCGGGCCGATGTGTGGTGTACTGGTGCTTTAAAGGCTTGTCGGTAATTCACCTTTGATGCAAAGGGAGACGTCAGACGTAGTTTGAACTTACGATGTGTTCCCACATCTACCCTATGAGGCTATGCCCGTAATCCACTTGAAGTATTCCAAAGGTGAGCCAAAACAATGTGTCTTAGCCACAGACTACCACCGTAAGGCAACCTCCTATTGCCTTAGGGCAAAGGATTTTTCATATTATTTTTTTATTATTATTATCATTTCTCGATTTATGTATGTCATCCTTGCGCAGGGGCCATGCCAATCTTCTCTGTATCGTTCCAATTTTAACGGATGTCCCGAAGGAAGGACGGGGCAAAGGAATTTTACAATCTGTCTAAACAAATGACCATTAAAGTGTGTTTGTTGCCTACACCACTCAGACTGACACATCCATCCCTCAGTGCAAACCGGTTACACACCAAGTCATTGATGACTATGCCGACTTGGCCTAGGCGCCTACTAGACTTGTCCATAGGCAGACCAAGCACTATACCGAAATACTACTCAACTTTACCATTCCTAAAGGATGGATATATAGGATGTCCCCTGCTGAACTGGACGGATTAAGGAAGCAGTTAACAGTACTAATTGAGACTGCCCTTGTATTATGGTCCATGGCAGATCCTAGATACAGTTGGCGCTGCTGCTCCCTTTGATCCATCCTATGTACCTGCTGCTCCCTTTGGTCCATCCTATGTACCTGCTGCTCCCTTTGGTCCATCCTACCCCATCTCAGAACCTATCCTGTCTTTCATGCCTCGAAGTTGTTGCTTTTCACACCTTCTGCTGCTTTTCCTGACAGGCCTCCTCAATTCGGTCCACCCATCCCAGGGAACGGATATGGAGTTCAGCAAATTGAGGCTCAATGGGGCACTGGCCCCAACTGTAGGTATCTTGTTCAGTTCCTCTTCCAACCACACACTGACAACAAGTGGTTTACATGAAGGAACGTCTCAAAACAACCAAGTCCATTGTGGTGGACTATGCGGCGAAACAGAAGGGTTTGCTATATCGCCGTTCACATCGTGGCCACTATCAGCTCGAAGGTCCTCGCTCCCCAAGATGGTAGGAATGCAATGTTCTTCCAGTTTCTCAGCGGGCTGTAACACACTAACTTGGACATGCTCGTAAATTGTTTTTCAGTTGTGGGTCCTAACCACTAACTGAAACCGGCCTAACCCGATAAGGACATTTCCGTAAATGATACTAAAATCCCTATCCTATACTACAGCTAGACGGGTACTATTGGACCTAGACTTCGTTTCAGTCCTAAACGGTCTGCTGCTTTATTACTACCTCAGACCGGTACCGTCGTTCCTGGAAAACACAGACCCAGAACTGCTAGTTGTGTCTCAGGTCCTAGGAGCCCGGTTCGATATGTTATAGAACTATAAACAGAATGAGTCAGAGTCTTTGCTCTCTCTTTTGGGGAGCGGTTGCTTAGGGATCCTGTTGATGCTGTAAGGCTGCTGGAGCAGCGCTGTAGCTGGGCAACGGCTGCTAAGGTTTCGAGGTAGCAGCGACGCGGGTGCGTCATCTGCTGAGTCTGCTGGCACCAGATCTGTGCTGTGGGAGCGCTGCCATATCTCCTTCTCCGAGGCAGCTGTACTTCTTCCTCTTCAAGCTGGAGGTTCCCTCTTCGTCCTAAAGCTGGTGCTGCTTATTCTGGGAGGTCTCTGGCCCAGCGCTGGAGCATCTGAGTGTTTTCCGGATGGCGCTGGTGCTGCTGAGACAGCAGTAAGAGGGTGTCGTTGGTGGTCTGCAGGAATCAGGACTGGGTGCTGTGTTTTGGGCTGGAGGCCCTAGCCGGCGGTGTAGAGGATGATGCTGGAGGGAGGGGAAGGCTCCAAAAGCTCGGTGAAGCTACGTTCTGAGTTTGTTCAAGGTGGTTTACTCTCGGTTGACATTCTTGGGTTCTTTGTGTTTCTACTGATTGAGCTGGAGGGACTGTGAATTAATATTTTTTTCAATTCTTGATTTTGAGCTTCCACTGTGCATATATCAGTCTGGTTTGGTGTGAATTCCCTTTCCAAGTCTGCTTTGTGATTGTGGCATGTGTTATGAGAACATGTTGATGCTCTGCTAGATTGCGTTTCAATCAGTCACATAACACAGAGAGAGAGGAGTGGGGAGTGGAAGAGGGGGGG